ACTGAATTCATAGGTTTCATTCGTATAAGTAATGCACCTCGTTCGAAATAATATTATAGACTGACCAAAAACGCTCGTCTCGCTTCCATTGTAGACTGCATTGTGGCTGTCGTTGTGCTTGATGAATCCGAAGGCTCAAAACCGTCCCAATTCGATGCGGTTGAATCGGTTGAAGAACCTGTTTCAGTGGCACCCGGAAGAGAGTCTGCTCGTTGCTTATCACTTACTGTTCCGTTTCTAAACGTCTTTGGAAACACAGGCGGAGGCTTGATCCCTCTCTGCGGTCGATCTGAAAGCAAAACACTTCGCTATTGATTCAAATCAACCAATCGAGAAGGATATAATCAAATAATCATCAAACAATATTCACAACGATGTGCTAATCATGATCACTTCACATGAACTGAACAAATAATGATAACATTATTCCATAAAGTACACCACAACTGAGCGATTCATTCTACTCTCTACAGCACAACGACCATACTCAGATGGACTCTTAAATCGTAACGGATTTACTCGGATATAGCCATAGATAAGATGATGAAGTCGACATATTTTTGCATCAGTTTTATAAAGACTGGATTTGTGCATTATAATTTTGTTAAGAACAATAATAATGAGCAGAAGAATGATATCAAAAGAAAGAGTTATGCTACGCAACACACCTTGCTGCTGAGTTAATTGGTTACAGTTTAGCGAAATCATCATTGAGGGTTTGTTATAAAATGATTGGGAATGTGCGGACGGTCTTTGCAATAAACATTTAGTGCACCAAATCGATGAAAACATCCTCCCGATTCAAAACTAAACTAACAAAAACTTTTTACAGATTTCTGATCAAAATCACGACTACATTTACAACTTCACATACAGATACGCCAACATTCAGTACAAAAACCCGTCTAGACCAATTCAAATTGTTTTCAAAAATGAAAAAATCGCATCCATATTCATGTGGTCACAGTTTATATGTGATCATAAAGCATTCATCAGATGATAACAATTTCAAACAGTGTTTTTCGCGCCGTAACGTATAATACTTAACAAGCCAACGTTCTATTCGCCACAAACTCTGTATGACCAGCGTTAAGTTAGTTGCATTCACATGCGATTAACACTGTAAACGGGCGATTCGGATCAAGTTAATCCAAGCATTATCGTAAAATCTTGTCACAAACTCTTANAACGAACATAACCAAGAATCGCTCAGCAATAAGAACAAACAATAAGCCTTAAAACTCATATGAAAACGATTGCACCGTAGCGATGAATCGCTCGTAAATGGGATATAAATATCAAATCAAACGCTCTCAATTAATGTCATTAATCTCATCGCTATTCATCATGAAATCCGGAAAAGAACTGACCATCTTAAGTGAAGTGCGCAGCGCAGTTCAGTGAGGAAAGCAAACGCAGCAAGCAAAAATGATCACCACTTCAAGAAACAATAATTCAATGGTTCTCATAGGGAGTGAAATTACCCGTTTTGGATAATTTGGAGGTGTCTGGGGGTAACGGCGGCCTGCCAGATCATCAAAACGGGTAGTGGAGCACCCGAACATGAGAACCACTACGATAATCAGATGATATGAAGAACAGAAATGATCAAGATAATAGACTGCATGAGATGCCATCTTGAACTAATGCTAGATGTCGTTCCTTTCGGATCAACAAACCAAACAGCTCTCTCAGAGATTGAGATGAATAACAGCCATGAATAACAGAGGAGATTCCAACGGATACTTGAATGCGAGAGCAATTGATCAAGTTGCAAAATCTGATAGATTATTCAAAAATTCATAACAATGAATGAATTCGGGTTTAACCAAAACGTAAATTTCCGATAGATGTTCAGCTAACTTACCAATATCAAGTGATTGATTTCGATGCGAACGCTGATCGAGAGTGATATTCACTGAAGTTGTGCAACTCTGTGATTGATCACTATTGGCAAGACTATTACGTGCCTGAGAAAATGCCTGATCTGAACTATCGCTCAAAATAGTAGCCGCCTGCAAATGGTCGAACTGAAACACGATTGCTTGTGGAAACGAGCTCAGGCTGAGAAAGTTTCATTTTACGCTGATCGTGCGTCAGCCATGGATTTGTTCAAAATGCACTGAATCAATCAATATAGGGAATAAAATATCCTAGACTCTCATCGCTAACAACGAAATGCTTCCCTCATGTTTCTTCAACAACCCAATAGATTTCATCCCTAACACAGTTGCACT